TACATCTGGGATAATGTCTAGCTGGTTGATCAAATTAAAGGTATTAAATATTTCATAATAGATTTAAACTTTAATGATTCCATAATACTAGACATAAAGAAGATAAGACTTAAATGCTATTCGCCTTTCTGGTAACTAATATTTTTAAATACAGTTTTTATTATTTATAAGATATACTGTGTACATATAAACCGATAATTCTTTGGTACCTTCAAATTCGTAATGTTGTTTAGATGAATCATGATTTAACAAGTCGCACACACAATGAACTTGGTTTTGATTATCATTTCATACGTATGAAAATTACTGTAGTTAAACTGCCAAACCATTAACCATTAAATTTAAATCAATTGTGGCAGCACTATTGTATTTTACATGTCACACACACACAGACATATACACACATCAACAGCCTTCAATAGTCCACTGGACATATACCTCTCCTTAGAAAGGTTGTTCTAGCCTACTATACCATGCTGCAGCGTGGTAAAGTAGGCTGGCCAGACGTGTTGGTATAAGTGTTGTGTCAAGTTTTCCTTCTTTTTGCAGAGCTCAAAATCTTACGATACTCACGGTACAAATAGGGGTAACATTCTGTATTCTTAATCCAACGGTGTTTTACATCCACACCGTATTTCACATGTGCCGAACTATTAAATGTTATCATATTAGCTTTTGCACAGAAATCATGTTTGAGGTACATACACATATAATCATGGCCATATCCCCGAAAGGGTGGGTAGAGGTGCAGTATTCGCTCACATTTTGCCTACAATAATATTATACTCCCCTTCAGTAAGAACTAAGGCCTCTCTGCTTGTTCCGCGGTAGACGCAGTTGGGCTGATGAAAAATAATAGGGATTATACCTATTATAAGATATAAAAATAATAAAAATAGACTGTATTTCTTGCATTGGCTTTTTAAATCATAACCATCATACTTACAGAGAGATATAATCTACATCCTTTAATAGTAAAATAAATATTAGTAATAAAAAAACCATTTTGAAAAACCGGCACAGATCTTGTCAGTTCGTAGTTATCACTGCCCGATTAAATTAGTAACAACTTCGTTTAAGTAATTTTAAAGGTTTATAATATATATTGTAATATTTTTAGTAAGTATGTAATGTAGTAATATATGTAAATTTTATAAGTCGGGTGACAATTAGATAGTAGATAGACTATTAGACTCGTCTAAATCTGTGATATAATACACATCATGATAATTTAAACCTGATAGATACTGTACAAAGAACTGACGGACTCTTTGCTAAATGCAATTTCTTCCAGGCAGCCTTCAGGCAAAATCGTCGTTGTGTCTCATCTACTTCTATACTATTTTATCTACTGTTGTAGACCCGGTTTAACTTTTACTTACTGTATTCGATACTTGGCTAATAGAAAAATTAAAACTGAAAAGTTACCTTAAGTTTTCGATAATCTTTACCCGAAGTCGTTGTCGCTCCGTATTAAATACAGATCTATTGTTTTCACCAAGAGTCGTGTAACTCCGAAAGCTGCCACTAAGAGGCGATCTTATTTTACAAGTGTCACTAATGAAGGGGCCTGTAAAGTCCTCGTGGTCATTGCTGTGGGGTAGCGCGCAGGATTAACTTTAAGAGCTAAGTATGCGTCCTACCGAATAAAAATATTTAACAGTGTGACCCGAGAGTTACTGTGTCATCAACCTGTAAAAATATTACTGTTGATTTTCAATGACATTCATTATTACTTTCGAATTTCTCAATTTATTTAAAACTGTCGTACTCATTCTTGCTCCTTAGAATTTTTAGCCTAGATAATCTATATATTTTCACGAAACCCAAATCTAATACTACAGATTCATCACACACACATCATAAGCCTGTCGCAGTCCACTGCTGGACATAGGCCTCTCCCATTGCACGCCACTTAGATCGATTTTGGGCTTCTCGTATCCAGCTCCTGCCAGCCATCTTGCGCAAATCGTCACTCCACCTGGCTTGTGGGCGTCCTACACTACATTTGCCGAGACGCGGTCTCCACTCAAGAACTCGTTTTCCTTAACGGTTGTCGGTTCTGCGGCTAATATGGCCAGCCTACTGCAACTTCAGCTTGCTGAGCCGGTATTCTATGTTGCTGACCTTGGTTCTCTGCCGGATTACCTCACTCCTGATGCGATCCCTTAGAGAAACGCCGAGCATAGCTCTTTGAGCGACTTTGAACGTTGAGCGACTTTGAACTTGTGGACCAGCCGTACCGTAAGTGTCCACGTTTCGGCTCCAACTGAATATTTCTGTTCCCCTGCAATGTCTGCTCGAGGTACACATAATTTTGAACAACTTCGAGAACAGCACCGTGTACCGCAATCGGTGCCGGTAGTACATGTTCGTTGAACAAGACCTTGGTTTTATCCAAGTTCATCCGTAGGCCAATGCTTCTAGAAGAGTCAGCTAGCTCATTCAGCATCTGCTGTATGTCCTGCAACGTCTCTGCCATGATGACTATGTCGTTCTCTCCTCAAACAGGACAGCGTTGAAGAGCTTTTGGAGCTCCCTTAGAACGGGTTTATCCCCGGCCTTTAGCAGCTTTGTTGTAACGCCATCCCCTCCAGGGGCTTTTCAATTTTTCAGCTGTCCAAGAGCCATCTCGATTTCGTCAATGCTAACTTCTGGCAGGTCTTCGGTGTAGTGATGTGTTAATTTGGCTCTAGAGTCCTCATTTTCGGGATCAGGTCGAGATGCATGCGAAGCGTATAACCGGCCATAGAAGCTTTCCGTGTGGTGTCCGTGTGGTGACGGATTAAGAATACAGAGTGTCACCACCCCTATTCATCCCGTGGGTGTCGTAAGAGCCGACAAAGGGCAAAAACTACGTAGAACAACAGCACTGCAGAGAGAAGAAAAACTTGACACAAGCGCTATACCTTTGTTAGGGTTTGTTTTAAGTTTTCCTTCTCTTTGCAGTGCTGTTGTCTTGCTTAGTTTACTCCCTTAGTCGACTCTTACGACACTCACGGGATAAATAGAGGTGGTGACACTCCGTATTCTTAATCCACCACTGCAAGGATACCACAGGACTAAAATAGTATCTCATAAAATATGAATGTTGTTTAATTTCTTTATCAATATGCTTGCTCTCACTACCTTTTACATTATTTTAAAAAATCCATCGTCGCTTACGTATTTAGCTTCCTACGTCCAAATTTAATGTAGCTATCACGACCCAATAATCTTCTTCGTTGTATACGTCTTTAGTTTGTTACCTCATCTTTTCTATTTCTTTTTTTTATGGAAGAGTGGGCAAACGAGCAGACGGGTCAGTTGATGGAAAGTGTTTACCGCCGCCCATGACCGCCTGCAACCCAGGAGTCACAAGCGCGTTGCCGGCCTTTGAGAAAGAAGTACACTCTTTTCTTGAACATTTGAAGTTCGTATTGATCAGAAAATACCACAGTTCAGACCGTTCTTCTTTACAGTACTCTTCCTATCGTAATCATCATGACCATCAGTTTTTAAAGTAAAAGTATATTTTATCGAACAACTGGCAGAATAAACCTGCTCATAATTTTTCATCTAATATTTTAACTAGTAGAAACAGGTATGGATAGTATGTATTTAAATAAGCTAACATGTATTTATATAATATGTATGTAGGTACTAATGTTTCATGTGTATGGTAAATATTTAGTTATTTTTAAATTGCGAAAACATACATCTATAAGTAAAAAAACATTCATATTCAAAACTAGATTTGCCCGCGGTTCCGCCCGCGTTAAGGTCGGATGTCGCAGTAAACAGTAGCCCATGTTACTCGCTGATACTGTAGTTTTCCATTAGTGAACGAATTTTTAAAATCGGGTTAGCGATTTAGGCTTGAAAGGATACAAAACAAACAAACAAACTAACTCACTTTCACATTTATAATATAAGTATGGAAGTACGGATGACGGGTGATTATAAGTTTTCACACAAACTGAAAAAGTAGCATAATAATATGCAATTACTCATGGATCAAACTATTTCTAGATCGTTTTAGTGATTCCCCATACAAATTTCCACTCCCCCTTTATAGCCCCTTAAAGGACGATTTGTGGGATAAAAACTATCCTACATCCTTAGCCGGGACTCGAACTATCTCTATTCCTAATTTCATCTTAATCGGTCGAGTGGTTTAAGCGTGAAGGGGTAACTGACAGATAGACAGACAGACAAACTTTCGAATTTATAAAATTAGTATGGATTAGTATAGATCGTAACAGTAAGCCTTGAGGATTTCTAGATGGTAAACAAACCGAGCGCGACGAATAGCTATTCGACGATTTGGCTCCTGTTCTCAGCGTACAATGAGAACCATCTGTATAGGTGTCCTGTTATCATTTCATCATCACAACAGCCTTTAATAGTCCACTGCTGGACATAGGCCTCTCCTTAGAAAGGAGGTACCTGTTATGCCTACCTGTTATAGTTTTTGTTTGAATATGAAATGGCCAATTCGATTAAATCACTTGTGTATGTAACATTCACCTGGAGTTGCTGTGACATATGCTTAGATATATTATATAATCACTGCAAACGATAAGATTCAACGTAGTGGAACGACCGTGTAAAAATCCATGCAGATGTTCGCTCACAGTAAGGTTTATAGCTCAATATAGCTGCTTGCACACGATTTATCGAGGATTTTAGCGAAGATGCAGAGCTTGGAGATTGGTCTGTAAGTTTTCACTAAGCACGTCTTTAGGTCCTTTTTGTACATTGCAGTTACGAATGACTGACTTCCAGATTGCTGCAACCACGCCCTCCATAAGAATGTTTAAAAGGATTGAGTGCAGTGATTCTAATGCAGATCAGTTGTAACTGATCTGTGTATTATTATTAAACGACTCTGTACCAAAGTATGTAAATGTAAATTAAGCAAAAAATAAAACGGTGTATTTTAATACTTTTGTTTCTAATTTATTTCAATTTTGAAGTTAGGACTACTTCTTGTTGTAGCTATCTTAAGATTTATCGATTTAATCATCAAAAACACACTCTGGAATTACAATTTCCTCAAATCCCTCGCATTTATCTTCATTACTCCACTTGGGGCATTCCTGTGTACAAAAAAAAACAACTTTAATAATAGTTACAATGTTTACGCGTAAACACAAATAAATAATATTTATAATACTAACTTACATATCCCACATACAGCCTTCTGAACCTAAATTATATAGAGCTTGTACTATGGTTACCAGATTGCTGATAATTACACTTATATAGTCCTGAATCCACACATATTATAAATAAATTACATCAAGACACAAAGAAAAGGATCATGCTCTCATAATTATTTGTCCTGGATTTGAATCGAACCCACAATCACCAGCTTAGAAGTCACCATAATTATTTATCAATTTCACATTCCTCATAATTATATATATATTAATACGAGTATAAGACATATTTATACACGTATATTAGGTCTTTACCTATGAAATTGGAGATATAAAAATTTGGTTATTTTTTTTTTTTAGCTTATCAAATTACTGCCCGAAATTAACTCTACAGTTTTGCCATTTTGATGACAGTTTATTTAGCCCTTTACTATCAAATTCTGCTGGATCGCTCCCGCCTCCCGATGAGGCTAGCGAATGTGTTTTGTACTGCCTCTCAGGTGTTGAATTTTTCCCACTTAAAAATTTGGTGAAATTTTTGAGAAAAGTAGAAATCTGTTGGCGCAAGGTCTGGTGAGTACGGTGGGTGACGAAAAGCTCCCAGCCCTCATTCTTGTAGCTTTGCGATTGACAAGCAATGGGGAAGAGCTGAAGTTGAAGTTGCTTAATTGAGAGGGTCTCCATCATTATTTGCAATTCTTGGCAAAAGACAACTGATTTAAGTTACTGTAGTGCCATTTGGTAAGAATCTGTGATGTACAAGTCCAGCATTAGTCTACCAGATAGTCAAGTTCATTTTCCTATCGGTAATATTTTAATTAGCGCATTGATTAGGTGCTCTAACCGGATCCATCGACTAAGACAAAAGCTTACGGCTGTAGTACAAGATTCACTTTAAATCACAAGTAGCAATTCGACTCAGTTACTGACTGTACTAGGTAAATATCTGTTTCTATGAAGCCATCCTAGTGGCATTTAAATATAATAATAATAATATAGTATTCTACCACATTCACACAACGCCATCTAGTCCCAAACTTAGCAGAGCTTGTAATATGGGTTCTAGACAACTGATATAGGTAAATACATACCTATATTTTTTTTTTGTAAATATATACATATTATACATAGAAACATCCATGACATTAAATGTTCATGCACACAAATGTTTGACTTGAGCGGGAATTGAACCCGCGACCTTTGGAATAGTAGTCTGTTACACAAACCACTACGCCATTCGGTCGTCCATAGGAAAACATCCAACGTTACAGCTATGCAATATTAAATTACTTTTTTTAATTTATTTCAAAAATGACATCTCATATTATTATGATTATTATGTTGTCCTAACTACATGTTAATATGTATTTGTATTTAGTTAATGGATTGTATTATTTAGTGTGCATGTAAGTGTGCTATTATGTAAATATTGATTTAATTCATTTATTTAGGTACCTTTAAGAACTGATTGTAGAAGCAGATCTGCATTTTCATAATATCACACAAGTCTGGGTGTCCATACTTAGATAAATCACTATTTATGCATTTCTCCTTGATAACAGCGACGAGTGCTTCATTATCTACAATTTTATTCTCTATGAAGCTTGTGAAGGCTTCTTTGTCGACACCATCGTCTCCATAGTAACCAAACTTTTTACCTACACATTGGTCGACTTCACACTGAAACATTTGGCATAATATTAATGTATCTTTTCCTTTAGGAATCTGTTAAATGCGAACTTCGTTGGCATTTAACACATCCGCATCGGTCCGACACATCTTCTATATACAAGATAGCACAAAATGCGGATGTGTATTTTGTTTTATATTGCATTAGCTTTTCCCCACGGATCCATTGGTGTTAATATTTTAAATCGATTTAGTGATTTAACAAACAAACTCACTTTCACATTTATAATAAATATAAGTATGGAAGTATGGATGTACCAGATTGAACAAAATCGATTATATATTTATTTATTTATAACTTGGAGGACCGACAGCTTTGACAGATTTGCTTAGCGTAGAGGTTTGCAACAGCAAGCCAGTTACTGATCCCGACGTTAAGTTCAATACATAGTTAATTTATATTTTGAGGGACTTAAAGCACGCTTTACAATATGTGTAGTCAACGTTTATATAGGTACACAGTTATAATACTGAGAACACGTTAAGCGCTGTTTGTGACAACAGATCAAGTGTAGGTATTAAATTACATATAAAATAAACCAAAATAACAAAAAAAGAAACAAAATTAAGGCATAAGTAAATCTAAGAGAAGAAGAAGAATTATTTCAATGCATATACATATATGTATTGAAATAAAAAAAATGCGTGTGGTATTCACATGTAAGGAAAAACTATTGTAATCCTATGTATTTCTTGTATAAACTTATATGATTTTTAATGCATTATTTGTAATGAAATTTGTAATGCTTAGGCAAAATTGGCTGCAAAGCTAAAAGCGATCTCTGACATCCTTTGGAGTGACAGGAACATAGAAACTAATCAGATCTAACAAAGTCTTGTTATCAGTCTAATTGTATAAAGCAATCAGGGAGTTAATTGAGAACAATGTGTTTTATTTCTGATGTTTATTTTATTTTTTATGCATGTTCGGGTATAACTCCGTCATATATAGACGAATTCGCAAAATTTTTTTTAATTCGAAAGGGGTTTATTCTGAAATAGTCCAATTTTAATTTCATATAAATCTCATGACAACTTTCAGAGACAGACAACGGAACTCTTCCAAAACTGACAGCAAATGAACTGCAAATAAACTGGACTCCGATTGCCTGAAACTAGTTTTAAGTGTAGATCAAAACAAAAGTATGGATCTTATTATAGAACGCGTTTTAAGTTTTAATCAGTTGAAACTAGATTCAAGTATTCAATTTTGAACTAACAGTCTGTTCTCAATTACGTTTCAGCATGATTGATATTATTATTATTAATTACGCAGCTAATTATTTAAAAACTAATTTTCTTTTACAAACATAATTTCTGTGAATTTGTATACAGAATACTTTTTAAGCTACACTAGCAATGTTAACATATTGACAAGCTTGTTGTTCGTCCAAAATTAAATATAATAAATATTAAAATAAAAATGACTAGCTATAGGCTATACCGAAACGTTCAAGTTATTTATCAACACTTGTCATGTTGAAATGTCAAACAATGCTTTTATTTTCATATTTCCATAATGTATATTACTAGAATAATATTATACTTTTAAGATAAACCAAAAGGTTGTGGTGATTTTAATATAAACAGGTATCGTGTGTGTAAAATGTGAATTTCAGTGAATTTCATATCAATTAAGGTAAATTAAAGCGAATTGATTAAAGTATGACAAGTAATTTCTTCGTCAATAAAGTAAAGTAAATCTTTTGTAATTATTCAGAAACAAATCATCGTAAAACACATTCATTTCATCTAAATGCCATAGAAATCACCACTTGAGACTAGTTTCAACTTGCCTCGCGTAAACAAAGATCACAGCTGTCAAAATCTATACTTGAGTAATGATTTCGACATAAACATCATTCTAAAATAAGCTATGACTCACTTGAGCATGGATCGGTAAATCTCGTTCTATAAAATCTCTACGTAGTTAGTTTTAATACTAGATGCAAGACTGAGAAACCTTTTAAAATACGAGCCTTGTGCTCTTTGTTAGTATTGTTTGAAGTCGGTTCAACTTTTTTTAAAGGGATTTTTATCATGCAAATTGTCATGTACATGGATGTACAAAATATACTTACATGCTAATATTTATGCATATGCTCGTATTGATAAGTTTAAACAAGTGTAAGTCTACAGTTAAATGACAACTATGCTTTGAGAGGTAATATTCCCTCAGTGGATTATATATTATACATTAAGAAAACGTATAATATTAAATTTTATGTAAAGATATTTTATTTTATTTATGCTTACAAAGAAGTGTAGTTTTTGATGTACATTCAAAATCGTAAGTCTTAATTCGACTGCTAGATGATCTGTAGTTGTTGTTACTCGTATAATAACTTGATCAGGATCTCCTTAATTTCAGAGACAAAAATATTAAATGTTTAGATTAATTTTACTATATACTCACTGAAACGGGAGGTGGAGGCCCTGGCTTTCTATTTTCAAAACATTCCATGAAAACTTTATGTTCGGTGATTGCACGCGTAGTTATTCCGGTACAGCATTGCATCATATACTGAATGATAAATACTGATAGTTTAACAATAATCAATTGATATTGATGATCATGACAAAGATGAATAATATAAGAGAACCATAATTATTAACTGACTTAAAAAATGCAGGAGTTTCTCATGTTTGTTTGGTTTATAAATGTATGATGAATTTACCAAATCGGTTCATAAATGACAGCGATCTAGAGCAACAAACCCTCTCTCTTTTTTGAAAGGGTATTCTTTCTGTTTGATCTCTTCAAATTCAAGAAAAATATAAGGATACACTATATATTTTTCTCACAAGACCATAGGTGAAGAATACAGTATATTCCAATTTACCACGATATCAGGCGCATTGAAGTTGGTGATACTCTTTTAAAAGTAAATTATTGTATGAAAAATTGTACTAATTTTCTCAACCCATCCAATCCCAATTCCTTTACTTTATATACGTTACAAGTGAGAAACCTCAGTATGGACAACTATGATGTTTATGACTTGATGAGTATATCAACATAAACTCGACCATTTCTGTTCAAAATGTAGCTGGCATAATACTTCTCTTATAGAAAATTGAGATCAATTCGATTGGGAATTATGCCGCCGATGTTGGGAATTATTATTGTTTATAGACATGAGGAATCAAATTACTATGAAATAGCTCATTTCCTCAGTTGCTTGGTAATGAAAAAATATTTACAGTTTTACTCACTTTGAAAGTAAAAAACGCATCATACTTACATTTTGTACTCCGTAACATTGTCTCCAGCTGTCATCAGGGGCGGCCTTACAATAAAAATAATATATTATGAGCCAAGAAACAGAGAAGAAAACAGCAAATTCTTGACTCCTTTTCTATGTTTCGTAAGTCCTAACAAGGTACAATCAAATGTAATTTCGCTATGTTCGTCTATGTGTTGGTCCCTATGTCCACATCCGTGGCCTAGCTTAGGGACTTCGGTGGACATCGACTGAATTTGCTCAACGGTGATACCCGCGCTATTGCGAGCTATCACTAGGATAGGTCCGGATGTCTTAATAATAGCTGTTCCCGGAGCCCTCTTATTTCAGGTGCAGAGAGGCACACCGTATGGTTTTAGTCAGTTCGATTCTGACACACAGTACCACCGCAATTCCCGGTGATTTGACGGCCCGAGGGGTTTGCCATACACAACAAAAAAGACTATCAGTCCATCAGGAAGTACTAGAAAGTTGTAATTTTGCTATATGCTATCATATTAACAAATAAACATAATGGTTAAAAACATTTTTTTCCCAACCTTTATGCTCCCTCAAAGAGAATAAACAATATTTGATGTCGTTTGATTGAAGATTACTTTAAATTCAGTATGGTGAAAATACGATTTTAAAATGCTTTTGTTTGTCACAATATTTTCGTAACAATGAACTCCCACCCAACAAGCTAAATTGTAGCTAAAAAATAAATATGGTGGTAATATTATAATAATATAACAAACTAAGAAAAAAATCTTAAATAGGAAAAACACAACAGTATTAAATTACATAAGCATGTAGTTTGATATTATTGTAGGTATACCGCAACTGAATAGAGGACTGTTCAATTAAAAAAATAAATTAAATTGCTCGCGCAAAATGTTAAACCTCACCATATTGAGTATAAACTCAAATCTTTTGCTATTAACAAACTTTACTTGCTTAAATTGATAAAAATTAAAAATTCAGTTTCTACTCTCGTATATCTTTAACATATTTTAAAATATACTTAAGTCTAATCGTTTTGAAACTATTAGGTACACTTACCGATGCCACAAACACAAAAAATATCACAGCACGATACATCATTATTATTTGAAGGATCAGATTGTCATATACTACATATATAGAAATAGTTCTAGAGCAATTATTTATTTCAATCGCAGCACCAGAAAATTATCGCGCCGCCTTGTCATTATTGTCGTCAATTTAATACTCTGTTAAAATTGTAGTACAATCACGAACAGTCTGTAATAGCGTAGAAAAAGTTATTGCTCAGTGTTAGTTGGTCTTGATATATTAATTAGTGTGAATGAATCAAAGTGAATGTAATCTATACTCATGCGATTAAACTGCAAAGTTTCATTTTATTTTAGTGCGATAGTCTCTGAAACTATCAATCAGACTAGGTTGATTCTTTCTCTGTTTGTGCTAGATGGTGTTAAATACACTCTCTTATCTTAAGAAATGATGTAGACTAAACGAATCATGGCATGGCCCAAGTGGAGCAGTGATCATAAATACCGATTAACCTGCGGGAAACGGTTATTATTGATTCATTTTCGATAATGTCTAACTGGTTGATTAAATTAGAGGTAATAAATATTATATAATACACTCAAACTTTAATGAATCAATAATACTAGACATAAAAAAAATATAAAAAAAATATCTAAATTCAACTTTCTGGTAACTAATATTTTTGTTTAAATACATTTTTAATTATTTGTAAGATATACTATGTCGAAAGACGCGTCAGACAAGACAATCTTACTTCACCGAAACTGTTCTCTGTGGTTCTCAAAATGATCTTTCAAAGCCTGGAATGTGAAAGAAATGGACTCAACATTGACGGTTAACTTAACTTAGCAGACATGCTATAACAACTGTCAGATGAAAGCGTCAAAGTAAGCCTCTACTAACAAACTCAATGAAACAGGAAGTCAACGTAAATGTTAGACAAATAGAGTACGTCAACGAATAAATATATTTGGGTCAACTAATATCCATTGAAAACAAAATGCAAAAATAAATAGTCAGAAGAATAATTAGTAGCTGGAAACGGTTTTTGGTCTTTAAGCGAAGTTATGAAGGACAGGGATATGCCTATCAAAGAGAAAAGAAAAGTCTACAAAACGTGTATCCTTCCATGCTTATCGTACGGATGTCAAACATGGGCACTAAGTGAATATCAACTTAAACAATTACAAGTATGACAAAATGGGATCGAAAGAAGCGTTATTGGAGTAAACAGAAGAGACAAGATTAGGCTACAAAATATAAAAAGAAGAAAAACTAAATTCAAAAATATATGTATAGTTTACAAACACCTAAAATGGGGGTGGACAGTACACATGCTAAGGGAAAGGAAAGAAAAGTGGACACGAATAGTGACAAAATGGTACCCGAGGGACCGAAAGAGAAATAAAGGTAGGCAGAGTAAGCGTGATGAAGATAGCATGAAAAGGACGGCTGGTCGAGAAAGGACACGCATTGCCAAAGACAGGATGAAATGGAAAACTTTAGAGGAGGTCTTTGTCGAAGGACAAGCTGTGAAAGGTTGCCGGTTACCGGTTGCCGAATAATTAACCCAAACTTAATGCTAAATTAGAATTAAGTTTTACTTATTAGGTTAAGATGTTAAACTATTTAATTATTCTACATCAATAAAGGCTATTTTTATATTTTATTTATTTATACTTTGTACATATAACCCGATAATTCTCTGGTACCTTCAAGCAAATCCGCAATGTTGTTTAGATAACAACATGATTTAACAAGTTGAACACACAATGAACTTGGTTTTGATTATCATTTCATTCGTATGAAAATTTCTGTGGTTAAACTGCCAAACCATTAAATTTAAATCGATTATGGCAGCTCTATCTAATACCTTTAAACGAGTAATTTTTATATAAATGTATAAACACTATACAATTACCACTTCTTTAGCAACAGCAAAACAGTGTTTTGATTATATTTAGAGGTTTACCGTCGTGTAATTTATTGTTATTGATAGACAAATACCACCAGTGAGGCGTCAAAATATCGAACACGAAAAGCAAGTCGAGTTCACAATCTTCGAGACGATAAAACTGAAACAGAGCGTAGGCAGCGTTTGGAGACAAACAGAATGAGAATTTCTCAAGCGAGATCTACCACGACTCTTAAAGAACCCATAACATTGATTTTAAGCGAGGAGCAACAAAACAGACGATCAAACATAACAATTACCTATGAACGTTTAGCGTATAGATATAATACTCGTACAACAGTCGATTACGTTGGCGATAAATCAGTCGATTTTGGAACAATGAGCACTATTTGTCAATATTGAAGTGCTTTGAGGTTTCGACTCGAACGGAAAGGCTTAGGTTGTGCAAATGGAAGAGTCAATTATCACAACTGACGACGCCACCTGAACCACTAAATTAATTACTTTCAGGGGAAGAACCAGTGCCAAAGTATCATTTGCAGAGTATTCAAATTTACAATAATGCGTTCCAAATGGTGCAAATATGATTGAAGATCGTGGTTTCAATCCAACTTTTAAGGTATTTTTTTACTATGTGACACACATTATATGCATCCATTGCAATATAAACCTAAATATATGAAAATTCTGTTGAGGCTCATAAATTAAGATCTCTTAAAATATTTCCTTATGTTCAATATTACAGATTGAAGAACCGATTCATCAACGTGTAGACGCATTATTGCCATTAGTTAATGGTGATTACAAATTTCTTCAAATTTATTTCGTGGGTAATTCTGAAGCTGAAGGTAACCAACGCTGTGATATCAATCCTTCAGTTTGGAGAGAGATTATACAGCTGCAAAAACTTATACATGAGCATAATCAGTTGCTGCGCGCTTTGCATTCGCAATGACTATTAATAAATCCCAAGGCCAATCGTTGGAAGCGTGTGGAATAAAACTTGAATTGCCATGTTTTTTGGCGGGGTTGTACGTTGCGTGCTCGAGAGTCGGCAACCATCGGCGCTATTTTTTTTCTCTCCAAAAGGAAAAATTAAAAATATTGTATATAAAAAAGCAATCCAGTAGGTTAAGGTCGAATTTTAATTTTATTTCATGACCTCGTCGTATCGCAAACCGATGATTTTGTTTAATTTTTTGTCACTAGGCAATTGACGAGTAACATTTCCAATACTTTTTGATTTGACGGGTTAATATTTTCTATAATCTAATGTTAAAGAAGTGTAATTTCCTTAGTCCGCGCTTGCATGTGATGCTCAGGCGGGCATAAATAGTACAACAAGTCTTTCAGGAATTTTAAAAATGTTGACGATAATATGGCGGTACGAAGTTCGCCGGGTCAGCTAGTAGAGAAATAAAAACGGAAAAGTTACCTTAACTTTTCGATAATCTTTACCCGAAGTCGTTATCACTCCGTATTAAATACAGATCTATTGTTTTTAGCAGGAGTGGTTTAACTCCGAAAGCAACTAGGAGGCGATCTTTTTTTACACGTGTCTTAGTGACACGGAGTAGAGTCCTGTAAAGTCCTCGTGGCTATCACTATGGGGTAGCACGTAGGATTAACTTTAAGAGCTAAGAGAGAGAGAGAAAGAGAGAGAGAGTCCCAGAGAACCAGGGAGTTACTGTGTCATGTACGTGGACCAGTTTAACGGTACTCTACGTCTTGGCTCCATATGTCGGTAGGATGCACTGGTTAATACACAATTCTGTTTGAAATAGAAAATAAATAAAGATTTTTTTAATGACAAATTGAAATAAGCAACTTTCACTTTATTATGTAATCTATAGAGTAATACATATATCATTACGTAGATATAATTATGTATTGCAAAAAACTTGTTACAATGTTCCTAGCATATATATATATATATATATCTAATTTCCGGAGGTAATTAAGAGAATTAAGGATCTACGATGTAAGTAAATTTATTAATTTATTATTATTAAATTGAAATTGAAATTGAAGTAAATACACAAAAGCGTACAGTTAAAGAGGCCTAACATTACAGAGTTGTAATTAACTTTAGCTCAATACTGCGTCAAAGTCAATTGGATAAAGAATAGTTTTGGCAATGTAGATGTTTATAAATTTGTGATGTTTCAGTCAAGGTATGATTATTATTCTGTTGTTACGTATTATCTTTTGAATTTGTTTTTATATTATACACATTCTATATAAAAATGAGTCTAAAGCTGCCTTTTTAAACATTTTCAACTTTGTTAATATTGATTAGCGAAGTTGAAAAACAACATATATTTATTTGTTTTAAAGGTTTCCTACTTTGTAATGCGATATGGAAATCCCACAAATACATACGCCTATACAACCGCCAGTGTATATTTTCAAATCAAAATAAAGATTTTCTTTACTTAATGGTATTTTTGTAACCCACGGCTCTTTTCCAGAAAATCTCATTTAGGATTCCGGACACATGTGTGTAATTAGTTCAAACACTGCATGGGAGTGTGCCTGCATAAAGGTCTGCCGGCTCCAACGGATGTTGGGCAGTTGTATATTTAGATACTAATCGGTGCGAGAACTGTAAGTGAGCGATGCAGAATTATTATTTGCTACGTAGTTCAGTGTATCTTTTTTCGATGGTACTGATGATACTGTTGTCCTGCGCAGTTTGAAAACAGAAGGAAAATTTTAAACAAATCCTATACCGCCTGGCCAGCGTGGTATAGTAGTCCAAAACCTCTTTTCTAAGGAGAGCCCTTTGACAAGCAGTAGACTATTAAAGGCAGTTGATGATGATGACGAAGCAGGTTTCTGTTTTGTTGTATGCTGATGTCGCCACAAAGAATGCATATAAATCAGAAGTTAGATTAGAAGCAAATGTAAATTTGCTGTTCTAAAATATTGATCCCAAATATTGACCGTAACAAAACCTTTTCAAGTGAAAAATGTAAAATGGTTATTACGGAGAAAGAAAAGTTCAAGAGCATTTGAAATTAGGTACTCATGATTTCTTTTACTTGTACTATTACACCTGGCTTCTCGTCAAATTTCTTGATACTAAAGCTCTTGTCCTTTCTAAAAGCTTTATAGGTTTCATATTTTTGGGATAGCTTTGACTTAAAAAAAT